TAAAAAAATGAATTAAACTGACTTAATTATTCTCAAGTTGATTTAATTATTCTGTAAGATATCAGGGAAAATATAAATGTTGTAGTAACTAATCCTTATGTAGGACAAATTATTATTTTTCTATACAGATACAACTATATTAGTTTATTTAAAAACATAAAACGTCATTGAGGGTCTGACAGCCTTAACTTTTTGGGTATAGCAGCATTTAAATTGGAAACTTTTTCTACACAGAGGTGGAATTGCAGACATAGCTATTAAAATATTAATTTTACACATAAAAATAATTTGCACACTTTAAACCACTATTTGAGTATCACTATGTTATAACACACAAACTTCTAAAATAATGATTATGAATAAATAAACTGTGGTACTATTCCCAAACCCTTTTTGACAATAGGATATTCTGTAAGGATAAAGTATTTTTGTATATGATCAGCATATATACATTAAAATATTGTTTTACCATTTTAAAGTCATTATAAAATATGTCCTTGATAACTATCAATTTTACCCAGTAAATCTTTTAAACCGTCCTTTGTAGGGAATCTAATATTTCATCCTGATTACATCCTTTAATATATCATCATGTTTTATCCGTACACATCAAAACATTAATGAACCCTGTGAGAATCCTTCTCAACATCATACTCAACAATATCACGATTTTGTCTGATACAATATTAACCACAAGCCTACAGGGCACTTGTACCCCCTTCCTGCCTGTGGATCGACAGGATTGGGATTTTATGTGATAGACCAACACAAAGTGGCACATAATTGTGATGTGGAAGGAAATTAATAAGCTTCACCTTTCCACAATTTTTTACAAATAAATATCTGAAAAGTGTGGCATGCATTTGTATTCAGCCCGCCGAGTCAATACTTTGTAGAACCACCTTTCACTGCAATTACAGCTGCAAGTTTTTTTGGGATGTCTCTACCAGCTTTGCACATCTAGAGAGAGAGATATTTGCCGATTCTTTGCAAAATAGCTCAAACTCTCTCAGATTGAATGGAGAGTATCTGTGAACAGCAAGTCTTGCCACAGATTTTCAATTGGATTTAGGTCTGGACTTTGACTGGGCCATTCTAACATGAATATGCTTTGATCTAAACCATTCCATTGTAGCTCTGGCTGTATATTTAGGGTCATTGTCCTGCTGGAAGGTTTACCTGTATTTGTCTCTATCAATCTTCCCATCAACTCTGATCAGCTTCTTGTCCCTGCTGAAGAAAAGCATCCCCACAACATGCTGTTGCCACCACCATGTTTCACGGTGGGGATGGTGTGTTCAGGGTGATGTGCAGCGTTAGTTTTCCGCCACACATAGCGTATTGCTTTTAGGCCAAAAAGTTCAATTTCTGACCAGAGCGCCTTCTTCCACATGTTTGCTGTGCCCCCCACATGGCTTCTCGCAAACTGCAAATGGGACTTCTTATGGCTTTCTTTCAATAATGGCTTTTCTTCTGCTTGCCACTCTTCCATAAAGGCCAGATTTGTGGAGTGCAAGACTAATATTTGGCTGCTTCTCTGATTAATGCTCTCCTTGCCTGGCCTGTCAGTTTATTTGGATGGCCATGTCTTGGTAGCTTTGCAGTTGTGCCATACTCTTTCCATTTTTAGATGATGGATTGAACAGTGCTCCGTGAGATGTTCAATGCTTGGGTTATTGTTTTATAACCTAACCCTGCTTTAATCTTATCCACAGCTTTATCCCTTACCTGTCTGGTGTGTTCCTTGGCCTTCATGATGCTGTTTGTTCACTAATGTTCTCTAACAAACCGTGAGGGTTTCACAGAACAGCTGTATTTATACTGAGATTAAATTACACACAGGTGGACTCTATTTACTAATGAGGTGACTTCTGAAGGCAATTGGTTACACTAGAGTTTAGTTAGGGGTATCAGAGTAAAGGGGGCTGATTACAAATGCACACCATGCTTTTCAGATATTTATTTGTAAAAAAATTTTAAAATCATTTTTCTTCCACTTCACAATTATGTGCCGCTTTGTGTTGATCTATGACATAAAATCCATTTCCGTTTTTGGTTGTAACATGACAAAATGTGAACAATTTCAAGGGGTATGAATACTTTTTTCAAGGCTCTGTATTTGTTCAGATTGTATTTGTGTAATATTAAAATTTGATGAGCTGAATCATTTAAGTGTGACACATATGAAAAAAAAAAATCAGGAAGGGGGTAAATACTTTTTCACATAGTATATAGTCTTGTACAGTGAGCTGATGCCTATTCTGCAGAATATTATTATTTTTTTTTTTCTCAAGCATCTCCAATCAGCAGTGTTTGATCTTTGATGCTGTGCTACATTTTGATGGGAATGAAAAACCTGTTGAGATACCTGGTGAAGAGAAGAAATGCATTCTGGTTTCTTTGGCTGGTGAATCTGGTATGTAGTGTGTTGAAAATGGGGACTGTCACTAATTGTGTTTTAAAAGCAAGGGACAACTTATGGAAGTTACTGTTACATACACGTGCGTACCCTGTCCTGTGTTTGGATTTGCGAGTGTGTGCAGGACAGCGGGGGTTACAATTCCATTTTTCTTTAACAAATGTTATTTTATTTTTTTTTTATGTTTATTTTTATTTAACTTTATTGATATCACAAGGGGGTTAACAAACCCCCTTGTGATGGCATTGGACAGGTGACCAGTACACTTTATAGAGACATCAAGGGTCCAATAGATCCCAATATCTCCCCTGCCATCCACTGCATCTGAGCCAAGATCTGCGCAGTTACATACTTCCCTGGCTGTATCAGTCAGCGAATGACAGTTCTTAAACCGGAACTGAGGAATGGTTGTTCCTCTGTCTCCTCCAGCCTGCTATTTTAAAGCTCTGCGATGTGTTCTGGGGCTTCCGGTAAAAGTGGGAGGGACCAGGAACCACATGGATGGAAGTGATGGAACTGTGCCACCTGCACCGTGCATGTGATTGGCAGCTATACAACCGCCAAGTCTCTTTCGCTTTACAGCTGGGAGCCAGCTAAGGAAAACAGCTTCTACTGCCATCAGCTTGTGCTTAACCCTTCACACAGCATATGTCCAAGGAGCTGAACTAATTAAACGATAAAATAACAAAACCCACTTTTACATGTTTTGGCCCACACACCTGGGGCTTGGTCACAGAGGTGACCAATCCCCAGTGTGTGGGGCGAAACATGTCAGAGGGCCTGGCTGGAGTGGCACTGGCTAATCTAGAGGCCACACTCATCCACGTATTCATGCACTGGGTCGATGAGCGGTGCTTCTTCCTTTTTCTGATGATGCTTCTACACCCCTGAATGGTGCATGTGTGTCTGCTCCCTTCACTGCAACCGGTGGGGAGATCCTTATCTCAGTTTAGAGTGGCACTGCAGGTTATACCTAGATCACTGTGAAAAATCACTTATTTAGCCTCATTTCAGAGATCTTTCATGCATTTTTATTTTTTCCTTTAGATGTCCTCTGATGGCCAGTATCACGCAACCTACTTTCTGTGAGCCCAGGTCATCCTGGATGCTCCCCTCCTGTTAATGGACAGTAAAAAGAGAAGCAGCACAGTGATATGCTCATCTCTGTTATTCTGATGTCTCATTCTAACAGCATGTTGCTTGTCAGAACCTGATTGGCTGTTTGTACTGCTTTTTCCTTTTACACTCCAGTTCTGTTGTACAGGAACTGCAAGAGGCTGAGATCAGGTCAAATTCAGGGACTGCTTGCATTTTAAAAAGAAACCTAATGATGAATTAATGATTACAGAGCTTCATTTATTTTTGTGTCTTTTATGTCTGCCTGGAGTTCAGCTTTGAAGAACTGAGTTCTAATCCCATTGAACAAATAAGCACATTTTTACTTGTCATTTACAGTGTGAAATATACTTCTTTTGTAACTCTTAGCGACGATATTGCAATTATACGTATTCAAGACAATTACATTTGAGAGACTGGTTTCTTTGGCAGTTGATAATTCAGATGGTCATTCTGTGGTTTATTCTTTCTTGCCCTGACTGATTTTTATGGCATGAACCAATATACATTTTATTCAGATATTTAATACCCTGTCTGCTGTTAAATTCAATTTACTTTGTCAATCACAGATTTAATTACAGCTATAAAAGCATTGATTGAGGATGGCCCAGGACTGCAGGATGATAAACACTCTCAGTTCATTGCATTTAGGAGGTAAGGTATTAAAAGAGAATGTGTAGTGATTTTCTTTATACAGAATCTTCTTTTTTTTTATTGTAATCAGGTCTCAAAAATACAGTTTTGGAAAATATTTTTTTTCTTGTGTAAATATTAATGACCACTATAGCAAAAAATGTGAATTCTGGTAACTGTACAGGGTTAATACCTTTTATTCATAGTACTTTGATTATGAATTCCTTTATTCATTTCAGGTGTTTTGTGTTTCTCCATATTTATATTCAAGCCAATCTTTCTACCCCCCCCCCCCCACTCAACAGGTGACTCATAGCCTTAGCTGTGTTTATTTTTCTGTAAGCCTGTGAAGAGGGGGTGTCCCTTTCTTCCAATCAGCTGTCAGATATCAGGGAACTCTGTGCTCTATGCTCTGCAGTGTGTGTGATATCAGATCCCTGCCCCCTGCTGCTATAGTGGAGGAAAAATACGTTGACATGTGTATTTTTGGAACGATCTGTAGACGAGATTGCTGCAGATTAACAGGTACTACCTATGTAGGAGGATTTGTTTAATCTCTGAGCTACACCTGAGACTAGTCACTTCACTGGGCATATGTATAATGTTGCTGTAACTACCTGACCTTTAAAAGTGTAGTAAACTCGTTGAACAAAAAAAAAAAAAGTTTTGTGCTGCAAGGTACCGTATTTTTCGCTCCATAAGACGCACTTTTTTCCCCCCAAAAAGGGGGGAAAATGTCAGCGCGTCTTATGGAGCGAATATAGAGCGGCCGGTCCGGTATTTCCACCGCGGCCGTGTCAGAATACCGGGCCGGCCGCTCAGCTCTGCAGCGGGACCTTATGGAGATGACTGTTGACCTTTGAAGAGGTGGGGAGCGGGTACCTGAATTTGACAGGTACCCGCTCTTACTTCTTTGTTCTTTGATCTTACCTGTTCCTCTATCCAGCGGCGTGCTGTCTTCCCGGCTTCTGTAGTGTGGGCACTGGGCATGACAGCCGGGTGCCAAGTGCGCATGCGCAAGAAGCGGTGCTTTTTGTGAATGGTAAGGCGGTACCTGGGACACATGACAGATCCCAGAAGCCACCGGACCAATCACAAAGCGCAAGTGCTTCTCGCTCATGAGCACTGGGCACCTGGCTGTCATGCCGAGCGCCATTACAGAAGCCGGGAAGACAGCGCGCAGCTGGATCGAGGAACAGGTAAGATCAAACAAAAACTCTGCGGAAGTAAGAGCGGGTACCTGTCAAATTTAGGTACCCGCTCCCCACCTCCCCAAAGGTCAGCAGTCATCTGTACTGTCCGCAGTCTCTGGTCATCCCTGTGCTGTCCGCAGTCTCTGGTCATCCCTGTGCTGTCCGCAGTCTCTGGTCATCTCCTGTACTGTGTCTGCAGTCTCTGGTCATCCCTGTGCTGTCCGCAGTCTCTGGTCATCCCTGTGCTGTCCGCAGTCTCTGGTCATCCCTGTGCTGTCCGCAGTCTCTGGTCATCCCTGTGCTGTCCGCAGTCTCTGGTCATCCCTGTGCTGTCCGCAGTCTCTGGTCATCCCTGTGCTGTCCGCAGTCTCTGGTCATCCCTGTGCTGTCCGCAGTCTCTGGTCATCCCTGTGCTTTCCGCAGTCTCTGGTCATCCCTGTGCTGTCCGCAGTCTCTGGTCATCCCTGTGCTGTCCGCAGTCTCTGGTCATCCCTGTGCTGTCCGCAGTCTCTGGTCATCCCTGTGCTGTCCGCAGTCTCTGGTCATCCCTGTGCTGTCCGCAGTCTCTGGTCATCCCTGTGCTGTCTGCAGTCTCTGGTCATCTCCTGTAAAATGTCTGCAGTCCATTAGTTCAGAATTTTTTTTTTTCCTGTTTTCTGCCTCTAAAACCTAGGTGCGTCTTATGGAGCGAAAAATACGGTAATATCATGATGTGCTACTGTGCATTGCATACTAGCACATTATGAAAGACTTGCCTTAAAATGCAGCCACCAAGGGCACGCTGTCACCACTGACAGGGCTTACATCTTCACCCAGTCTTCCTTCCGGGTTCTCAGGCTGCGGCTGCTTGAATGGCCAAGCTGCCAATGATGTCACTCCGCGCGCATGTGTGTGAGAGTCTTGGCCACAGCACACTGCTCTGAAGGAATGGCATGGGTATGATTAAACAGTGCTTGTTTAGGGGATATTCATTTTACCTATGGGTAAGCTTTATTATAAGATTTCCTGTAGGTAAAGATATAAAATGAAAGTTTACTACCACTTTAATTTGTATTTCTCTTACTTATAATCCATCTAAAACTCTGTGCTGACCTAAGGCTACGCTGTCTACAGGGTGACAACACAGCTGGGTGACTTCACTGCAGATTGATCACTGTTGTTACTTTGTTAAAGGAATTAAAAAATTAATAGATCCACTGGCAGGATTAACAAGTAATAAAATGAATGTTAACAAAAGGATCTGCCATGCTACCACACCATCAAATAGAACAAAAAAAAAAATCGAAATTATAATAAATTAATTCACACACTGGTGCAGCAAAACACCAAAAAAGCTGACATAAAGTATAAAAAAGTGCAGCGCAACCTTCCATTTTATACCTTTATGAATAAGGCCTCGTTCACACCATACGTGCAGAAAAACTGATGGAAACTGATGCTCAGATTTCACTTGCAGAGACATCACTTTTACATGCGCGCTTCAATTAGTTTTGTACACGTTGCAGATTTCTGTGCAGAAAAAAATCTGCACACAATACTACTGTTGTAGTGTGAACATGGCACATAGAGAACAAGTGATTGTGTTGTGCCCTTGCAGAATGCATGCACAAAAACTGACATCTCTGCACCATTAACATTTTATTTCTGTCACAAAGAATGTAAACATCCCTTGTGACATCAATAAGCATGTACATGTGGGTCCCCCTCTTTACAAACCAGCATCTGTGTCCCTATCCGCTCATGCCTCCAACTGTGTCCCCCTCCTTACATGCCTCCAACTGTGTCCTCTTCACATGCCTCCGTGTGTCCCTCTCCTCACATGCCTCCATCCGTGTCCCTCTCCTCACATGCCCCATCCGTGTCTCCCTCCTCACATGCCCCCATCCGTGTCTCCCTCATCACATGCCCCCATCTGTGTCTCCCTCTCATCACATGCCCCCATGCTGTGTCCCCCTCCTCACATGCCCCCATCCGTGTCCCCTCCTCCTCCCCCGTCATGTCCCCCCTCCTCATCCGTGTCCCCCTCCTCACATTCCCCCGTCCGTGTCCCCTCCTCACGTTCCCCCGTCCGTGTCCCCCTCCTCCCCCTCCTCGTTCCCCCGTCCGTGTCCCCCTCCTCGCGTTCCCCCGTCCGTGTCCCCCTCCGTCCTCTCGCGTTCCCCCGTCCCCCGTGTCCCCCTCCTCGCGTTCCCCCGTCCGTGTCCCCCTCCTCCGTCCGTGTCCCCCGTCCGTGTCCCCCTCCTCGCGTGCCCCCGTCCGTGTCCCCCTCCTCGCGTGCCCCGTCCGTGTCCCCCTCCTCACGTGCCCCCGTCCGTGTCCCCGTGCCCCCCCTCCTCACATGTCCGTGTCCCCCTCCTCACATGTCCTCACGTGCCCCCGTCCGTCCGCGTTCCCCCCGTCCGTCCCCCTCCTCGTTCCCCCGTGCCCCCGTCCCCCGTCCGTGTCCCCCTCCTCACGTGCCCCCGTCCGTGTCCCCCTCCTCACGTGCCCCCCCCCGTCCGTGTCCCCCCTCCCCCCGTCACGTGCCCCCGTGTCCCCCTCCTCACGTTCCCCCGTCCGTGTCCCCCTCCTCACGTGCCCCCGTCCGTGTCCCCCTCTTCACGTGCCCCCGTCCGTGTCCCCCCTCTTCACGTGCCCCCGTCCGTGTCGCCCTCCTCAGTGCCTCCGTCCGTGTCCCCCTCCTCACATGCCAGCATATGTGTCCCCTGCCGACAGTGCCCTTTTACCTACCCAAAAGGCAGCATCCCAGCCGGCATCCAACATGAGGAGGGAAAGAAAACCACAGGTCTCTGCAGATGGTGTGAACAAGTCCTAAGGCCTCGTTCATACCATATGTGCAGAAAACCTGATGGAAACTGACGTGCAGATTTCACTTGCAGAGATATCAGTTTACATCAGGTTTCATGCGTTCTTCGATATGTTTTAGGGCTCGTTCACACCATGGTGCAGAGATGTCAGTTTTTCTGCATGAGTTCTGCAAGGGCACAACAAAATCAATTGTTCTCTATATGCCCTGTTCATACCACAACATTAGTATCATATGCAGATTTTTTTCTGCTCAGGAATCTGCAACTTGTATAAAACTCATTGAAGTGTGCATGTAAACTGATGTCTCTGCAAGTAAAATCTGTTTGTCAGTTTCCATCTTTCTTTCTGCATGTATGGTGCGAAAGAGGCCTGACACGCGAATTTGTGTTGTATACTTTATTTGAGTTGTAAAAAAGTTGGTAATAGTAATACTAAATTGAGAGGGGGGAGGTTCTCGCCATAATTTATAAGGCCTTGTTCACACCATACGTGCAGAAAACTGATGCAAACTGACACACAGATTTCACTTGCAGAGACATCAGTTTTCATGCGCGCTTCAATGAGTTTTATACACGTTGCAGATTCCTGCACAGAATAAATCTGCACTTGATACTAGTGTTGTCATGTAAACATGGAACATAGAGAACAAGTGCTTTTGTTGTGCTCTTGTAAAACGCGTGCAGAAAAACTGATGTCTCTCAGCCATGTGAACGTTCCTTAAAGGTATAAATTGGAAGCTTTGATTGGACAATTGGTTGTGCTGCACTTTTTTACACTTTATGTAAGTTATAAAATTGTCCCAGGAGGGGCAAATATTTTTGTCTTAATGGAAAAAAATATTGCTGTAAAAATGACAGCTGGGAATTGCCAGTAAACACAGCCAAGGGCCTGCAGGGAAGGAGCAGGGTGTGCTGCACATGCCCAAAGGATTTTTTTCTCTTTGGCATGTATAGTACTCCAAAGGGCCCACAACTGGTAAATATTACATGTTCATATTTTGCAGTTTGCATTTTTATTTTAGCCAACAGGTTTTGGAGCTCAGTTATTTTGGGGCGAAATTAATACATGTAAACGAGTAAAGCTGACCGTTGGTAGGCAGTTTTTTTTTTTCTTTTTTTCACCAGCCTGTGGGCTCAATGGAAACAAAAACTAAGATGGATGGAGGAATCCCCTCCACACCCCCATCAGAACATTGTATTCTGCCAATGGGACTTTGACCAACAAAAATATTCCAACGTGTTTGTTCAAAAGGGATGGCCACACACTGATTGAAATTCAGCCTTTCTCTGCTGAACCAACCATATTTCAGATCATCTATGGCCAGCATAAGAGAACTCCTTATTGGATGACTCAGTCCGATGCTGTATCTGTCCCTCGCTGGCTCACATGACTGCTGATCGCTAAGTTCTCACAGCCGCTCTGAGCAGAGAGCCCCTGGGCTATGGAAGGGGAGGGAGCTGCTGGTTCATGGCTCTCAGCGGCCTGCTGAGAGGCTGAGCCAGGTGCCGCTCCAGAGTTTGGGGTGGATCCCGACTTTAAAGTCGGGATCTTTCCCCAGCCTGGACTGGGTAAATGTTGTCAGCCGACAGTGGACTTCAGCCCGCTGTCAGCTGAAAATGGGTCACAGGAGTGCAGAATGAACTGCACTCCTGTGATCCATAGGAGAAGTACAGCAAAAAAAGAGCTTTGGCTGTACTGCTCCTTTAAATAACTTCTGGTGAGCAGGGAATTTTTTTTCATGCAATAAAGTTGAACTTCAGCCTTGCCTTTTGTCCTGCGCAGTTGTACAGGCTCTTTTGTAGTGAAAATGCTTAGTCTGATTTCACTGCATAATGTGAGCTTCTCATTGTGAATCACAAGCTGCAGCAAGTCAAATAGATCCATTTTTTCCTGTCGGATATCTAGCAACATGTAGCTCTTCCCTCCACAGCCTGTCACTGGCTTGCCCCTTTGGTTTCAGTCCTTGCAATCATTGAGTCTCAGCATTCCATGTGGGTGTTACCCAGGGTGGTCTACATGCACATTCAGTCTACCTAGAAATGCCCAATCCTCCAGACTGGCATCAAACCTGTAAGGTATTTTGATATTTGCATACAGTAACTCTTTCCAAGAGCCAGCCTACCACTTTCATCATGACACAAAGCTCTTGAGAGGAGTAATAAGGCAGGATGCTGTGATGTTTCCAGTAAAATGTACAGCACCTATCTGCTAAGTCACACCAACCATGATCTCTCTGAATTGCCCTGAGATCTAGTGAGTTGTGTTGTGGAAACTAAAAGGTTTTATTTAAAAAGTCAACTGCGGAAAGTCAGAGGCCATGCACTGTGGAAAGTGGTTCCTGACTTCATCTAATGCGTCATCCCGTTTGGCATCAGAGCAGACTTCATCCAAATCCTGGGAGTCTAGTTTGGAGCTGAGGGTACAACCCTGAAGCCTGTGTCCAGGTCAGACAACTTGCGTGTGATCACTGCTTGAGCTAATACATGTGAGTGGGAGCGATTGGCTGCAAAAGCTGGAAGTCTCCCATTGCTTTGGATGGGGCTGCCTACTCGTAGTAACCCCTGCTGAGGTTCTTGCAGCTGATCACAGAGAGGGTGCATTCTCAATTGTGAGTGTACCCTAAACATGTCCACACATGCTATGAATGGCGTGGATGACATCACCATTGTACAGTCTCAGCAGTTCACCTATTTTACCAGATAGGCAGTTCAGTGGTCACCTGTTGAACACAAATCTTATGTACCATGATCTAGTTTGAAAGAATGTAATTTAACAATGCAATTTGAAAGTAAAGCTTGCCAGATTTGTTGAAATGACCTAGTTTTCATTACTAAATTTTCCTTGCTTCATTCTCATTTTAAGTGTCCTGTTTTATTAATGTACCCATATGCTGTGTATGTACTCGTCAGTTTGATTTAAGCTATGTACATAATGTGTTTTTTTTCTTTCTTATGTATATTTAGGAAGGACTGTTTGCTGATAAATGAGCTGTGCTGCACACGCTACTCAGGACATACGATGAAGTACGTACATAAGGAGCTTAGTGTTGGTAATTTCCCTCTAGACTCGTATACAGTATTTATAGCCACTCCGGTGGCCTGCCTGGGCAAATAAGCCAGGTACACATGGTTCGAACTTTGGCAGGTTCTACAGGGACCAGCTGAATTCTGATCTGTGTGTGGTCCTCTCTGTTCAACAGAATCTAAATGTTGGATCAACTTCTTCTGTCGAATGGTTCTGCTGGATAACTTTTTTGATCAGTGGTCTGCAGCTAATGGCTCAGCCGCTGGTCAATGTATTCTGATGGGGCTGAAGTCCCTGCTGTCAGAAGAGAGCAAAGCAGGGAGGATTCTTGCGTCCTCAACTGTGCTTTTTTTTTGTTCAGCCTGCTGGTTGAAGGACAAAACAACTAATAGCGTGTACCCAGCTTTGGTTAGAAATCCCTGTTGTTAAAACAACTTATTCACACCTTGGTTATAATCTGCCTCGAATACTGCAACTCCCTCCTCACTGGTCTACCATTACACAGGCTATCCCCCCTTCAGTCTATTATGAATGCTGCTGCTAGACTCCTACACCTTGCCAAGCGATCAGTGACTGCTGCCCCTCTCTGCCAATTCCTTCACTGGCTTCCAATAACCCAACGTATAAAATTCAAAATACTAACCACAGCTTAGAAAGCCACCCACAACACTGCCCCTAGCTACATCACTACCCTGATCCACAGATACCACCCAAATTGCCCACTCCGCTCCTCCCAAGATATCTTCCTCTCTAGCTCCCTCATCACCTCCTCCCACGCTCGCCTCCAAGACTTCTCCAGAGCCTCTCCCATCCTCTGGAACTCCCTACCACAGCATGTCCGGTCAGCCCCCACCCTGTCTGCCTTTAGGCGATCCTTGAAAACGCACTTCTTCAGGGAAGCCTACCCCACCTCCACCTATGAACTCTACTTGAATCACCTCCACCAGATCATCCCCCGCAGCTATCACCTTTTGTATCACCTCCCCCTTCCTTTAGATTGTAAGCTCCATGAGCAGGGCCCTCATATTCCTTCTGTACTGAACTGTATTGTAATTGTACTGTCTCCCTTATATTGTAAAGCGCTGCGCAAACTGTTGGCGCTATATAAATCCTGTATAATAATAATAATGTTGCATTTTTTTAGGAGTTCTTCAAGGGGGTTGCCCACTCAAGCTGGGGTTGGGCTTTAAATGATTGCAGTACTTTTGCCTCTCCCTCCTCAAAGGCAGCAGCTGACAACTGACCAAAATGTATAATAGTTTGCATTTAAGTAAATGTCTGATAATTTGCAAATGTCTTCTTTTGTAAGAAAATAATGATCTGGTGTTGTTCCTCCAGGAATTCCAAGAACAGATATGATTTTAGATGTGGTGACAAAGTCTGCTGCACTAAAAATGCCTATGTCAAAGATCTTCAGTCCAGATCCAGGTAGGATGTTGCTTTGCCTGAACTTGGCTCCTGGCTGGTGACCAATGCATTTTAATGCCTGGTGTATGAATCATTATTGCTTCATGCTAACAAGTGTTTTGTTCTGCTCATTCTAAGGAGACAATATGCAGACCAGAATGGAACTGACCTCATGAAACAAAGCGGTGACTTAGTCTGCTGCCCTAACAATGACTATATTACTGATCTTCCAATGATGTCCAGGTATGTTGTTTAAGTGTTTTAATTTGACTCCTGGCTGCTGACCAATGCATTCTACTGTCTAGTGTATTCATTATTACTACATGCTAACAGTTTTTTTTGTTCTGGTCATCCTAAGGTCACAATGTGCAGACCACAATAATACTGACCCTATGACACAAAGCCAGGGGAAATATGCAGATGAGGAGCGAATCTGTAATGGGGAAATATTTTATATAACGGACGTGAGTAATCTCTTTCATTGTATAAAGGCATTTGTAAATAAATGGCCATATTTTTATACTGGTTATACATGTTTCTGTGGTAGAGTCGTGTATTGCCATGGTTTGATCACCTGGGTGCAGTATGAAGCTGAAGTTAAAGTGGCTCCAAAGTCTCAAGGTTTTTTACCTTCATGCAAAACCTTCTGTGTGCAGCAGCCCTCCTAACACTTACCTGAGCCCCCTCTTGATCTAGCGATGTCCACAAGAGCCTCGGTTCTCTGGGGACTCTCACTCCTGATGGGCTGAGACAGCAGCAGGATCCACTGGCTCCCGCTGCTGTCAGTCACAGTAAGTGAGCCAATCAGGAGAGGGAAGGACGGGGCTGAGTCGCAGCTCTGTGTGTGAATGGAGATACAGAGCCGCTGATTGGGAGCGCACCTGCTCGGGTGCCTCCATTGCAAGCTGCTTGCTATGGGGGCACCCAACAGGAGGGAGGGGCCAGGAGCACTGGCGGGGGACTCAAGAAGAGGAGGATCTGGGCTGCTCTGTGCAAAACCACTAAGCATGACATGTTTGTTATTTTTAAGAAAAGAAAAAAACAATAATATCACTTTAAAGATGTTTAAAATATAATATTTTTGTTTGCTACAGGATGTAGAAAAAGATAAAATCCGTGAATTAACCCTATCTGACGGAGAGGAGAGAGAGTACACATTGAATTATAAAGCCCTTAGAATTCGCAGTGGTTTAAATTTTGCGTGGGCCAGGACCATTCACACATTCCAGGTATGTCATGTACACAAATCACAGACCAGTTTAACCACTTGCCCTCCTGAGGATTTACCCCCCTTCCTAACAGGCCTTTTTTTTTTTTTTTTTGCTATTCAGCGTTGCACTATTTCAACTGGTAATTGCGCAGTCATGCAATGCTGTACCCAAACAAACTTTATGTCCTTTTTTTCACACAAATAGAGATTTCTTTTGGTTGTATTTGATCACCTGTGCATTTTTTATTTTTCGTGCTACAAACAAAAAAAGACTGAAAATTAAAAAAAAAAAAAAAAAACGGTATTTTTTACTTTTAGCTATAAAAAAAAAATATATAGTAAACTCAAATTTAGTCACAAATTTAGGCCAAAATGTATTCTGCTAAATGTCTTTGGTAAAAAATAATCCTAGTAAGTGTATATTGATTGCTTTGTGTGAAAGTTATAGCGTCTACAAACTATGGTATAGATACTGCAATTTACGTCATTTTTTGCTATACAGCGCTGCGCTAGTTTAATGGACAATTACACAGTCATGTAATACGGTACATAAACAAAATTTATGGCCTTTTTTTTCACACAAAATGGAGCTTTCTTTTGGTGGTATTTGATCAACTCTGGGGTTTTTTTTTTTTGCACAATAAAAAAACAGAAATGAGAAAATATAATTTTTTTTAAATTTTCAGTCAAAAAATATCCAAAAAACTCAAATTTCGTCATAAATTTAGGTCAAAATTTATTTTGCTATATGTCTTTGGTAAAAAAATTCCCAATAACTGCATATTAATTGGTTTGTGTGAAAGTTATAGCATCTACAAACTATGGTATAGATCAGGGGTCCTCAAACTTTTTAAACAGGGGGCCAGTTCACAGACCTTCACTCTGTTGGGAGGCCGGACTATAGTTTGAAAAAATATGAAACAATTCCTATTCACACAGCAAATATGTTATTTGTAGTGCAAAATAACAAGAAAAAAACAATACAATATTTAAAATGCACTGGACACCACAATGCACTGTACTCTGTAATGCACTGGACACCACAAAGCACTGTACTCTGTAACGCACTGGACACCACAATGCACTGTACTCTGTAACGCACTGGACACCACAATGCACTGTATTCTGTAATGCACTGGACACCACAAAGCACTGTACTCTGTAACGCACTGGACACCACGATGCACTGTATTCTGTAACGCACTGGACACCACGATGCACTGTATTCTGTAACGCACTGGACACCACTATGCACTGTATTCTGTGACGCACAGGACACCACAATGCACTGTACTCTGTGACGCACTGGACACCACAAAGCACTGTACTCTGTAACGCACTGGACACCATAATGCACTGTATTCTGTAACGCACTGGACACCACAATGCACTGTATTCTGTAACGCACTGGACACCACAATGCACTGTATTCTGTGACGCACAGGACACCACAATGCACTGTACTCTGTGACGCACTGGACACCACAAAGCACTGTACTCTGTAACACACTGGACACCACAATGCACTGTACTCTGTAACGCACTGGACACCACAATGCACTGTACTCTGTAACGCACTGGACACCACAATGCACTGTACTCTGTGACGCACTGGACACCGCAATGCACTGTACTCTGTGACGCACTGGACACCGCAATGCACTGTACTCTGTGACGCACTGGACACCCGCAAAGCACTGTACTCTGTGACGCACTGGACACCGCAAAGCACTGTACTCTGTGACGCACTGGGCACCGCAATGCACTGTACTCTGTAACGCACTGGGCACCACAATGCACTGTACTCTGTAACGCACTGGGCACCACAATGCACTGTACTCTGTAATGCACTGGACACCACAATACACTGTAACGCACTTGACACCGCCATGCACTGTACACTGTAACACACTGGACACCACCATGCGGTGTACATTGTAACGCACTGGACACTGCAGTGCCTTGTACACTGTAATGCACTGGACACCACAATGCACTGTACTCTGTAACGCACTGGACACCAATATGCACTGGACACCACAATGCACTGTACTCTGTAACACACTGGACAAGAAAAGAAAAAAAATATGTTTTTGTTTTTTCTTCATTTTCCAAAAACTTTCTGCAGATCTTGTTTTCCACAAACAAGATCTGCAAAATACTCCCCGTGTTTCTTATCAAATTCCTTGGGGTGTCTACTTTCCAAAAAGGGATCATTTGGGGGGTGGGTTAGGTGCTATCCTGGCATTTCAGGGCCTCCGAATCTGTGATACTGTAGGTAGTCAGGAAGTGTAATGAGGAAATAAAGCTCTTTAAAAGCCTGAAGGTGCTTACTGGATTGTGGGGTCCTGTACTTAGCCAAAAAGTCTCTCACATGTGGTACCCCCATACTCAGGAGAAGTAGCAGAATGTATTTTGGGGAGTAATTCCACATATACCCATGGCATGTGTGAGTAATAAATCATTTAATTGACATTTTGTATTAAAAAAAAAACCAAACATTTGTCATTTTTCAAAAACTTGTGGTAAAAAAAAATAAATTCTTCTATTGACTCAACATGCCTCTTACCAAATACTTTGGGGTGTCTACTTTCCAAAAAGGGGTCATTTTGAGGGGTGGGGTCATTTTATGCCCAGCATTAGCAGTTTATGCTACACATCACTCACTCTTCTAACCACCTGAAGATCAAGCCTTTTCTGACACTTTTTGTTCACATGAAAAAAAATCTGTATTTTTTGCTAGGAAATTACTTTGAGCCCCCAAACATTATATATATATTTTTAAAGCAGACACCCTAGTGAATAAAATGGTGAGTGCTGCAATTTTTTGTCACATAGTACTCGTGCAGCGATTTTTCAAATGCAAATTTTTAAAAAAAAATACACTTTTTTTACTTTTAATGCACAAATACACAATATATTGGTCAAATATTTGGTAAAATGTAAAAGATATGTCGAGTAAATAGATACCAAACATGACATGCTTTAAAACTGCGCATGCCCCGTGCAATGGCAACAAACTGCTGCATTTTTAATATCCATAGGCAACGCTTTAAAAGCATTTACAAGCTACCATTTTAGATTTACAGCGGAGGTCTAGTGCTAGAATTACTGCCCTTGATCTGACATTTGTGGCGATACCTCACATGCATGGTGCAACCGCTGTTTACATACTGGCACGGGGTCAACGCTCGAGCATGCGGGGGGAGAGTTTTTTTTTTCATTTTGATTTTATAAAATTATTTTTTTACCCTATCCCTTTAATTTTATTTTTTTATTATCCTTTTTAATGCTATCAAGGGAATGCAAATATTCCCGATAACTTCAATGGGCATTGTCATATATTCTTTTTTGAGAAATCTGGGGTCTATCAGACTCTAGATATCTCCTCTGCCCTTACATTATATACCGTATTTTTCGCACCATAAGACGCACTTTTTTCCCCCCCAAAAAGGGGGGAAAATGTCAGTGCGTCTTATGGAGCGAATGTAAAGCGGCCGGTCCGGTATTTTCTGCCGCCACCATGTCAGAATACCGGGCCGGCCGCTCAGCTGTTCTCCCCTGCAGGGCCTTACCTGTTCCTCGCTCCAGCGCTGCACAGTCTTCCCGCGCTGGCTTCTGTGACAGCCGGGTGCCCACTGCGCATGTGCTGCGCTTTGTGAATGATCCGGTGTCTTCTGGGACACATGAAAGGTCACAGAAGGCGCCGGGCCATTCACAAAGCGAAGCGCTTCTTGCACCTGCGCAGTGGGCACCCGGCTGTCACAGAAGCCGGCCCGGGAAGAAGAGGGAAGGCAACTCCGCGGAAGTGGGAGCGGGTACCTGTCAAATTCAGGTACCCGCTCCCCCTCCCTCCCCAAAGGTCAGCAGTCTCTGGTCATCCCCTTCACTGTCTGCAGTCTCTGGTCATTCCCTGCACTGTCCACAGTCTCTGGTCATCCCTGCACTGTCCGCAGTCTCTGGTCATCCCCTGTACTGTCTGCAGTCTTGGTCATCCCCTGTACTGTCTGCAGTCTCTGGTCATTCCCTGTACTGTCTGCAGTCTCTGGTCATTCCCTGTACTGTCCGCAGTCTCTGGTCATTCCCTGCACTGTCCGCAGTCTCTGGTCATTCCCTGCACTGTCCGCAGTCTCTGGTCATTCCCTGCACTGTCCGCAGTCTCTGGTCATCCCCTGCACTGTGTCCGCAGTCTCTGGTCATCTCCTGCACTGTGTCCGCAGTCTCTGGTCATCTCCTGCACTGTGTCCGCAGTCCCTGGTCATCTCCTGCACTGTGTCCGCAGTCTCTGGTCATCTCCTGTACTGTGTCCGCAGTCTCTGGTCATCTCCTGTACTATGTCCGCAGTCTCTTGGTCATCCCCTGTACTTTGTCCGCAGTCTCTTGTCATCTCCTGTACTGTGTCCGCAGTCTCTGGTCATCCCCTGTACTATGTCTGCAGTCCATTGGTTCAGAATATTTTTTTTTCTTGTTTTTCACCTCTAAAACCTAGGTGCGTCTTATGGTCAGGTGCGTCTTATGGAGCGAAAAATACGGTAATTTCACAAAGATCTGTGTGATCAGATGCTTTCCCAATTTACAAATGGCACTGTTTGTATCCTGCGAAACTGAAGTGATGAAATGCTCATAGCTTTTGATTTCTTAGACTATAGAGGTGCATTCATCATCTTGGTTTAACCATTCAAAGTCCAGTGTTGTACCAGTACGTCGCTGGTCCTTGTTGGGTGTATATGCAATGTTGTTTTTTTTTTTTTTTTTTTTTTTTTTTTTTAATGCAGCCTGTGGGCTGAATGGGAAAAAAAGAGACGAAATCTCTGCCAGAAAAAAGTGTGTGGCATGCCCACCGTGGGCTGAAAAGAGAAAAAAAAGAACCTAACAGATTCCTCTATTCACATCGGTCGATGTGGATGAATAATTCTCTGCCAAAGATTTTTTTTTTAAATATATATCAAAGCCCACTGGCCACCCCAGGCCCCCATGCTTTGGCATATATGCTCTTTTTTTAACTGCAGATTAAAAATCTCATCTAACAGTGCTGCACACACTGATTTATGTATATTCTAAGAGCAAGTTCCTGTTGCTCTCAGATTAAACAGGTCGGTACTGCAGCTGAATGGCATTCCTGCAAAGAAAACAGCAATGGTTAACAGTAAAACAGTAACCATAAAATAGTAAAATTGTAACAGTAGAAACAGTGACAACAAAAAAAACTGCAACTAATTTTGGTTTTTAAAATTTTTTATTTTTTTTTTATACTTGTACTTTTTATTTTGTCTTTTTTTTTTTCTTTTTTAACTTGAACTTAAACCAGATTGTAGGATCTCTCAAAAACCTAACATCTTTCTAGACCCTCTGTAAATATGTGCCCTGAACTGTGCCGTGCTGTACCCTATACTAATACTCCACTAGTGTGTGGTAGCGACAGAAAAAGTCATTGCGGCAGATACTAGGTTGGCCAGGACAGGAGGGACAAAAAAAAGCGGGTGTCACGGCTATTTCCATGTCTGCTACAGAAACATCATCTTTTTTTGGGATATCCTTTGGGTTGGGGTACCAGGAATGGCATTGGGAAAATGCCTCTCATGCAGCTGACTAACTGCATCTGTGTTGGGGGTTTTGGCCGCAGCATCTTCTGGATACAAAAGAGCCGTGATGATCTCTTCCTGGAATTTTAGGAAGGATCCACTTCTTCCAGTTGCTTTGTAAAGCACAAAAGCGTTATATAGAGCCAATTGAAATAAACAGACGCTTTTTTGTACCAGCGTCTGGCTGTCTGGGAAACGAAGTATGGCTTCATCATCTGAAGTCCACCCCTCCCATGTTAAGGTTATATCCGTGGACAGAGTGGCTTCTCAACAATACCAGCTGCCGTGGCAATTTGGATGGTCGTGTCTGCGTGAATGGAAGACAGGACGAAAACATCCCGTTTGTCCTTCCACTACACTGCGAGTAATTCCTCATTTCCCAAGTAGGCTTTTTCCCCTTTTCTAAGATGGTTATTTACAGGCCGTTGGGGGAAGCCCCAGCTATTAGGTCGCACGGTGCCACATGTGCCAATTCCAAGATGGTACAAGTGTCTAGTGTCACGCACTAAAAATTGTCCACGTATAAGCGGTACTCCATATGGAAAAAGGATGATACCAAGCACCAAACTATCTTGCCACTGCTCCCCTGGGCATTCGGGGGGGGGGGCTCCACATGACTATCTTTTCCTTCATAAATCCAAAACATATATGTATAGCCTGTTGCTCTCTCACAGGTCTTCTACATCTTGACCCCATATCTGGCACGCTTGCTGGGGAGAAATTGTTTGAATGCAAGGCAGGCAGAAAAATTAGTGAGGGACTCATCAACACAGATGTTTTTGCTGGGGAGTATAGACATCTGCACATTTTTGGTTAAGGTGATTTACGAGGGGCCTAATTTTGTGGAGCCGGTCAAATTCAGGGTCACCCTGAGGACGATAGAGTGTATTGTCATTGAAATGCATAAATATTCTCATATCTATGCCTGGCCATGGCAGCAGAGAACACAGGCATATGATGAATTGGGTCTGTGGACCAATACAACCGCAATTCTTTTTTTTTTAGTAATGCCCATGTTGAGGGTTAGGCTCAAAAAAACTTTAAATTCAGAAACCGTAATGAGTTTCTATGTGAATGGTCTGGCAAGGTTTAAATTTGGGTTGGCAGTGATAAACTGTTGTGCATATAAATTGCTTTGATCCACAATCAATGCATACAGATCTTCCATGAAAAACAGCTCCAAAAAATCAAGGGGAGTAGTTAAATTTGCTGTTTCCACCTGAATTCCAGGTTGGGCAGTGAATGAGGGAAGTACGGGTGCTGCAGAATTTGTTAGCTGCCAATCGGGATTTGCAAGCATGTCTGGAAGGATACGAGGGGCTCTACGGGCCTGTGTGTGAATTCTTGGTGGCTGTGGGACAATACTTGTGCTCGCCCCCACACCAGCTTGTACTGCACTTATGGGACTTGCCACGCCACCAAGTGATACTGCAGTGCTGGTATGTGAAAGACCAGGATGTACTAGGCCGCTGGTGCTCGCCAGTACACCAAAGTTTAGAGCGGCACAAGTAATGGCACTCTGCTGCATATGAGAGTCATCATGTGATTGTAACATCTCAGCAACCTGGGAATGGGGTTGGGTATGCCTGATCTTAGCAGGGACCTCTTCTCCATCGTCTGAGCTATCTGTCAGGGTGCCACTGCTGTCTACAGGTTCGTATTCTGAGTCTGATTGTGTCAGTGAGTCTTCCCCTTTGCTCTCACCTGACATGCTCAGAATCCTGTAGGCCTCGGCACTAGAGTATCTTTCCATTGACATTTTGACCACTAAATGTATAGGTACCTAGTGCGACTCACAGGAAGAAGAGCACATGGCTGTCAGGGACTGCTTGAACTGCTACAAAAAAAGTGCTAACAGAGATCAGTCCTGATTCTGCGAACACTGTGGTTTTGTGTGCAGTGTATCAAGTGACAATGACCTACTGACACTGCACTTGCTGGGGCGGGTAAGCGTAGGTGCTAAACGCAGGTGCTGGCAGGTGCCCCGGCTGATCCTGCTAACGCTGTGTTTTTGGGGACACTATACTATGTGAATGCTGTGATAGTGCTGATCTGATCAAAGATATTGATCCGTTCAGACACTATGCTAGCAGTGGAGGTTTATTGTGTATGAGCGTGCTCCTGGCAATCAAGGGGTTAAATGTGATTACTGGTGTATGACGGGCAATCTGACGCTATCTGGGAAGGACGCTAACGCTATCTGAAGTCGCCGGCAACACTAATACAGTGATCAGCAAAACATCTGTACACTGTACTGACAGGGCAGTGAAGGGGTTAACCGGGGGGCTCGATCAAGGGGTTAAATGTGTCCTAAAGTGTTCTGTGTGCAAGTGTGCTGCTTGTAGTCACTGTGTCTTGATTCTTCTCTCTCTGGGACGGAATATGCCCAGAGAGAGAAGATTTCATCACTTCCTGTACCTGTGTAAGTGTAAACACAGGTACAGGTAGATCCCTTCGATTATCCGACTTAGGCCGACTGTCACTGGCCTAAATCAGATGATTGATCCCTTAGGGATCAAGTCACGGCACCCGTGGGCTCAGCCCCCCCCCCTGCTAAAACCGCGGCAGTGCGACTCACGTGTGTGTGTGTGTATGTGATCTTGCACGCCCGTGCCGCCCTGTAGCAGTATTTCTGCTATAGGGCAGTCGGGAAGCGGTTAAACATACTGTATATGACGCTAATAATTAGGTTGCCCTGTTACATACAGTAATTACCTTTTATAAATATGTTTCATTTCAGTATATTGTGTGAGCCTAAAGATATTTCACAGGAATGTATTCACCTTTGTTTGCTCCATATTAAAGTGCTGTTTTGTGAACATAACTTGTATTTCTATACATACATTACAAAAAGGATGTTTGGCCCGGTTCCCAGCTGTTGGTTTGAGATTTAAACTTTAAAATCAGTCTGTATAGGCAGTAAAGTATGCTTGTTATACTCACTATTGAACCTAAGGGGTTAATCATCTGCATTGTGTAAAAATGCAGTTTGATGCTGACTTCTCTGATCCTCCCCTTCCAGTGTCCCCCTCTTATCTCCTGGGCAGACCTATGGTGTGGAAACACTCTGCCCATGCTCAGTTTAGTGTGTATTGCTAGAGAGGTTTCTTGGAAGAGTGCATGTGCTCAGCACAGGGCCAATCAGCACTGTCCAGACAGAAGTCGGGTTCTGCATCCTATCTAGGAAGCAGCACATGCTTGGTTGGAGACAAAGGGGGATATTTACTAAAACTGGTGCACAGAATCTGGTGCAGCTGTGCCTGGTAGCCAATCGGCTTCCAGGTTTTATTGGCAAAATGTAATTGAACAAACTGAAGTTAGAATCTGGTGCCAGCGTACATAGTAACCAATCAGCTTCTGAATGCACCAGTTTTAGAAAATCAACCCCCACAAAAATCTGGATTTCTAGTAATAACAGCAATAGACCTAAATCAGCGGTAATTTTTTGGGTATTCTGGATTCTTGACGTTTGCACTTAGTCCAGTTTGGCTGTACATTACCTATGGCTTTGTGTTCAAAATAAAGTGAAGGACACCACACCTGAGTAGTTTGGTGTTCTGTATATAAAAAATATGTGCATTCTTGTGAAATATTACGTGATAAAAAGTAAAGAGCCCTTTCATATTAATGCATTTTTGCTGCGCTTTTACCCTACTATAAAAGCACAGAAAAAAAAAAAAAAATATTTCCCTTCAAATCAACAAACTCTTCACACCTGCGCACTGTGTTTTGAAAAATCCTGAATGCTGCATCTTTGGTGCCCTGTTTAAATATGTGCACCAAAAAAAGCACCTCTCATTAAAATCACTGGAAAACACATCAAAAATGCACCATGGTTGTGTTTTTGGTGTGCTTTTTGAGTCACATGTCCATGTTGCACAGGTGCATGCTGGGAGTCAGGCAACCAAAAAACACAGCAAAAACGCAGTATGCATTTTTGCCACCTTTTTTCTATGGACCACTGTGAAAGTGCCCAAGAAGGTAAAATCTGAAGCATATCAAAATCCAAGAACAAAAATTATAAATATTTTAAATCATAGATGTGATGGGTGCATTGGTGTTTTTTTCACCTTTTTATTTTTACTGATAACGTTGTACTCTCTGCTGTTATCAGCTCACAAGATTTCTGGCAGAATCAATAAGCATTGGTTTGCACTTGCCCAAACAGCGTCAACAAAACCCTGTCAACGGTATATTTAATAGACCAAAAAGGAGAAAATGGAAGTTGATTGTTATGGTTTACACACACTTAAGATTATAATTGAAGGTATTACAGTAAGGGTGTATAACAGTGATCACCAAACTGTGGTCGGATGTGGCCCTTGGGCACTATTCCTCTCATTGATACAAAGCATTGTTTTCTCTACTGCCACCAATGATGAGGCATCATTCTGTCCACTAACACCAACAGTGGGACACAATTCCTCTCACTGACATCAACAGTGGAGCCATATTCCTTCCACTGGTACCAATGATGGGCCATATTTCCTTCCACTTCTGAACATTATTCCTCCCACTGACATCAAAGATGGAGCACTATTACACCCACTAAATACCAACAATGGGGCACTATTCCATCCACTGACACCAACAGTGGGTGCTATTCCTTCAACTGATACCAATGATGGGGCACTATTCCTTCCACTGACACAAATGATGGGGGTCTATTCTTTCCACTAATACCAATGATGGGGCACTATTCCTTCCACTGACACAAATGATGGGGATCTATTCTTTCCACTAATAGGGCACTATTCCTGCCACTGACACAAATGATGGAGTTCTATTCTCTCCACTGATACCGCCAGTGGGCCACTATTCCTCCTCCTTCTGACCACAAGCGCTATGTAATTTAAAAGAAAAAATTTTTCTGATATGCAGATTTCAATTTGCAATGATTTTTATAGACGTTGCAGATTCCTGCGCAGAAATAAATCTGCACATGGTACAAGTGGTGTGAAGAGGGCACATAGAGAACAATTGGTTTTGTTGTGGCCTTGCAGAACATGTGCAGAAAAACTGATGTTTCTGCACCATGGTGTGAACGAGCCTTAGTCTTCAAGAATCTTTGAGCTAATGTTAACTGGTTGGAGAAGTCAGCCCCATGAAGGGCAGAATTTACAGCACTAAGGTATTGTTTTTTTTCAAGCACTTATGTTTTATCTATTCATTCTTTTTTTATTCCTTGTTCCAGGGCTCAGAAGAAGACACCATTGTGTATGTTTTAGGCACTGCTGGCAGACAGAACTGGAAGCATGTATACACGGCTGTCACACGGGGCCGAAAACGTGTATATATAATAGCAAACAGTGCTCAGCTTGATCTTGCAATTGCTAACAAGTCTCGTGAAAGAAAAACTAGACTCCAGCAGCGTCTGAAGGACAGCTTGTCCCATAGTGGTGCCTGGCCACAGTCTGGTGCTTCTACTTCCACCAATCCAATGAAAACACAGATGACACAAGGCAAGCCCGGTCTGCCCTACACACAGCTTAAAACGCCTCCTCGCTTCCGATGCTCCTCTGTGCCCACCACACAAGCTATGGCCTCCTCCAGGAGCACTTGCGCTGATGGAGAGGTTTTTGCAGGCCACATGTCATCACCATCAGGCTCGCCAGTAAATCGTGAAAGCCGAGCGGTGGAGGAGTCACCCTCACAGAAGCGGGTAGGAATCCCTGTACATGATATGGAGACCCCTACCAAGTTATACCGGCGTGACAACTCCATGGTATCATTCTCTTTTTTTTGTCTACTGTTGGAACGATATATTTATAGTTTTATGTATGGAATCATAAGTACTTGTAACAATTCAGGGGATATACTGCTGGTTTGTAAACATTGGTATGATAGCCTTTGATGGACAAAGTTAATCCATAATTAGGATCTCAGTTAGTGAAGCCTAATATCACCAATAGCATACATTGCTTAAAGTGGAAGTAAAGTCCACTTTTAACTTGTACCTACAGGCAAGCCTATAATGAGGCTTACCTATAGGTACAGTGAATGTCTTCCTACACTTGAACTGTTTAGGAGATATTCACAAGTGATGTAGCTGGTGATGCCACCAATGCAGGGATAGCATACCTATGCCGTACCTTCAGAGCTCTAGGCCAGGGGAGAGATGTCAGCGCCCCCTCAGCCATTCATACAGCCGGGGCCCACAAACCCAGAAGGAAGACTGAGTGAAGATGGAAGCGCCAAGATTTGTGACAGCACTGTGCGGGAGGGCCCCGTGTACAGGCAAGTCTGTCATAATGTGCTAGTATGTGGTGCATACTAGTACTTTTTATGAGTGCTGATTCTCACATGTGTGGTGCGGATTGAAGCTCAGGTTTCACAGCTAATTGACACAGTAGCTGTTCACTGGTTCAGGACAGGATTAATTCAGGATTTTATCCTATTCACAACTGATGACGTTCGGTTTAGAAACGGTTCCCATAGAAGTCAATAACCTGTAATCCGCAACTGAACCGGACCACACTGCTCAGAAATCGTACATGACTTTTTAATCAGCACTGAATCTGGACATATGTGAACATGCACCAAAGCAAACAATGTTCTTTCACATGTCATGCGGATAGGATGTGGTTCAAACCACATCCTATCCGCATATCCGCATATATGTGAATAAAAATATATACAATTCAAATGAAAACTGAACTGTAGCTCAATACTTTGACCTGGGACAAATGTGCAGAGTAGTAATTCTGCGTTTTGTTGGTTCTACGACTACACTCAGTCAACTAGCAGGGGAGATAAGCGATGGCCCCATAATTTGTTTGTAGAGATTTTGTATAAAACAAACGCCTCATAATGTCTAATTTTCTTCAATTTTTGTTTTTCAGAGTGCGGCAGAAATTTCTCCTTCAAGTAGACTTCAAAACCTGCACATAAATAGTTCATGTAACAAGCAGCTTTTTGATCACTGAGGACAGACACCTTTTAAGGATGCTGGATTAGGTGCTGGAAACCTTTTCTACAGCAAGTAGATTCTCTTGTCAGGTGTAATACAGCTTGACTTTGCACTGTAATAGGGGTTTACTTGAAACTCTAATGATGTATTTTTTGTATATTAGAAGCCTTATTAGATTAATGTGATGCAAGTAGTGATAAATGCTGAATTGTAGAGAGGCATTCAATAAATCACCAGTACAGTTCAGTGCATAAAAAAAAAATGCAGCATGTTCTACTTTTTCTGGAACGCACTGGAGTGAACTATGCCATTGGACCATATAACCTACTATCTGTACATTTATGATAAAGGAAAAAAAAAATGCACTGGACTGCATGTGGCATGAACCGGCCCTCAACAGATGCAGGCCCTGCAATTTTCCTCAGTGCCCTGCAGGTGCAGCAACTGATTGATATTTATAAAGGCACTCCCATATAAATTCACTCTGCACATAGACACAAACAGCCATTTCTTCAGCATAACAAAAGTTAGGAATCTGCAACAGCTTGTTAAAATCCCTGCAATGTACATAGACCAGCTAGCGAGGAATTTTTTTTTTTTTTTACTCAACAAAAGTAGAGTTACTCTTTTTAAATGCACGTTTTGTCTGCCTTGCCCATACAGTTGTCTGAAGTTAGCTTTGCCGTCTCCCACTCTATTTCTTACTACTCCCTTTTGGTAATTTCTGTGATGAGGATGTGTGTTTGTGTGCCAGCCAGCAAGTAGGGATTTGTGTAGTATCTTCCTCATACAGGTACCAAATTATTAAGTAGTGATAGAAGCACCAAGTCATCCATCCAGCACTCAGTGTGCACAATGGTGTGCTTAGCCAAAAAGTAAGACATTATTAAAAGTTCCTAAGCATTTTTTTTTTAATATCAAGCATATGCTTGTTGAATGTTATAAAAGTTACAAACAGTTTTTTGTAGTAACAGAAATTTAGCTTAAGTTTCCATTAACACTTGGGCGACTTTGGATATCAAAATCACATGACAAGTGGCAGGCGATTCATTTAAATGGCATCAAATCAGTGTGTTCTAAAGTTGCAGCGACTTTGAAAACTTTGATCCAGAGTGTACAGTCAGATTAAAGTCACACTGGAAATCGTGCAACTCTGGAGTCGCACAATTGTGATAAGGTGTCTAAAAAGAATTGCTTTATCTTTAACCCCCTTGACGCCGACATAACACAAATATGCGGCCTCACAGAACTGGGCTTTTTTCTGTGGGGCTGCATATTTGCGTACCTGTCTTTCTGCTGGGAGTGTGCCCCCAGGCCCCATTCTAATGATCGGGACTCCCGATTCTGGGTCACCTTATTGCTGTGATAGCGTCTGATTGGCTATCACAGTGATCAGTCACTGTACAGCCCAGCCCCTTTGTGTTTTTTTCCTCTATGCCAGGAGTTAGAGAGATACAATGTATCTCTCTCATCCATTCATAAAGGGAAAAAAAAATAAATAGAAAAAAAAAATACCTAGATCAAGGTCTGATCAAGTTCATTGTCAGGGTAAGTGTTTGGGTCAGGATCTTTTTTTTTTTTTTTTTAATTTTGTGTCAGTGTGTTTTAGGTAAAAAAAAAAAATAAATAAACTACCCCCCCCCCCCCCAAAAAAAAAGTGCACTATTGTTTCTGGGCTGTACTATGGGTACAAACAACAAATTGCATACACATATATGGTATCGCTGTGATAGTCAAGAGCTGGAAAATTTATTTTGGGTTGTTCTTTGATGTTAGCTTATGGTAGAAAGAAACACACAGCTAAACTTAAAAAAAATAGTTTTCTGTACTATTTTGGGCCAGTTTTCCTTTGATAAAAAAAGAAAATCAGGAGATATCCATTACCCTTTACCACCAAATGAAAACCCAATTTGTCCTGAAAAAAAATCGTGGTATAATGTACCTGGATGTACAAAGTAGTTGTGATGATACGTACGCATTTACGAACACGTCAATGTTGCTAATTTGTGCCTAGGCATTTTAGATTTGTTTTACCCTTAGGTGTGAAAGGGGTTAAAGAAAAATAAGAGATGACAAGTGTTGTGACTTGTCAGTATGATAATTTGTAATTAAATATGGTCATTAAAACTAAGGAATAGCTATGTCCTAAAGTGACCCTGTGAGGGCACAATTATGGAGCTGCCTTCACGAACTTGTTTTAAATCTGTAGCTGTTTGTGCTGTGACTCATTCTTGCATCAATGCCTAGTGCAGCCTTTCTCAACCTTTTCCACAGAGGAATCCTTGAAATTCCTGGAACCCCTGATAAAAATGACTATATCTACAACTCATGATACATTTGATGGTCATTAGGACAAATTGGCCTCTTACAGATAGCTAAAAAGATTATTGGTGTCAGCAGGCACTTACCTGAAAGGTAGAAATTGCTCAAGGGAACCCCAGACAACCTCTGGAGGAACCCCAGGGTTCCATGGAACTCTGGCCTAGTTAGTTACTGCCGAGGAACAAGCATGCAGCCAAAGTCTAAAAAGCTCCCATCCTGTATGTTTACTCTGTCACCAACTCACGAGGTGGTGTAGTCAGAATCAAGATGATTGCCCCCAATCCTTTTAAACACAATTCAGCAATGGCAGTTAAGCCATTTTCTATAATTATAGGGTTCTCTTCAGTAAATATTAGTTTAATGTGTATCATATCATGCAGACATTTATGAAATGTGTCTGAAGCAGTTTACAAAACATTAGGCATCTTTCTCTCCAAAGCTCCAACCATGCTTCATATCGTTCACAGTGGGAATGTAACATTAATGAGCACTGCCTCAAGCTTGTAAAAACCTTGCTTACAGCTACAGTCAGATCATTTTTGGTCATTTCCAGTCAGGAGCTGGAGGATGCATTAGAGACGTAAGGAAACCTGCATAAAGTTTGTGCTTCATCAATGCATGCTGTGCACAATACTCTTTAATCTAGTGTTTACAACATAACATCTTTCTGAACTACTGCTGCCAAAAAAATGTCAGGTTCATCCGCTATAAAAAAATGTTTGTCAACATAGCATGTTAGTATATATTGGAAAAGTGCTAAATTATATTTGTTTTAAAAAGTGTCACTCTCTAATCTGGCTCCACTGTTGACACCAAGTGTACATTTCTTAGTGACCACGGATTCTTTTAGTCAAGTAGCCAGTCTTACTGACAAGGAGTCTTCGGTATTGTTGCTTGTTTTATATCATGGTTTATTCCATTTTGTACATCATGATTGTTCCATACAAAGTTTCAACAGCTTCAGTTCCCAAAACCATACATAAGACAATAAATGTCATGCTATTAAAGTATTAAATTTGTACAAAAATACTTTACAGTTAAATACTCGTTTGTTACAAACAAAAATACATATTTAATTAAATGATAAATGATTTCCTTTTCTCCCATAATTTTGTGTAATAGTATACTTCATATTTTGACTGGCAGTGTGTTGTAAAACAGTATGCTTGCACAGGTAAGAATAACATCCATTAGACAATACCAAAGGACTGTAGAGTGCAGTTATATAGACACACGATGGAGGCTTCCTGGATCCTCTTCTACTCAGCAGATGCCAATGCTAGGAAGCACAAACAGAGCTGCTGGTGAGTCTCCAATCAAAATAAGAATCACTTTATTGCTTCCAGGGATAAATTGGCAAAGCTCTTTAAACGTGTACACCTCTAAAACAATGAGACATGGTATAGGAAACCATTGAATGCTAATGCTCTTATTTATACTATACAAACACCAGAACTTGGATGAAATGTCTGCATTATAGACAACTTTCATAGAGTCTGAATAGGCCTGAGGAATCTGAAATTATATAGTGATTGACATCAGGTTGAAGTTGTGTAGGTTTGAAGACAATGCTTATTTCAGCCTTATTGTGATTTAACGGTGCAAAACATGTATACAAAGTAACAGAGACCATTCACTGCAAGAATCTGGTAGAGGCTCATTCAGGACTAAACCACACACAATACAGTATACCAGGAGTTGGCATAAAGGCTAAGGATGGTTTGGATGCAACATGTCATCTTGTCAGATAGGGTAAAAAAAAACAACAAGCTAAACATAGTTAAAAATCCTGCTCAAAAGTCTTAGCAGCTATAAATTATATTCACAGGCCCATTCGTACAACAGGGACCTACTAAATGTTCAAAAAGTTCTGCCCCAGTTGATTGGTAGTAAAATAAGCCACTTTTATTTCAGTAGGTTCATTGCACATCACAAAAGCCCCATGTTTGTTCAAGGTTAAGCTTGGAATGGCACTAATATTTTGAGTGGTCACAAAGTAGCAGTAGAATCTGTAAAAATCATTTTACTCCAGGCTCAGGCGCATAGAGTACCCTCAGGATACCGAGTGGTTCACATTCCCTGTGCTTAACAGTAAAGCCACATAGTGACATCTGTGCGGTTCAGTGGCACAGATCTGTAGGACAGGGATACAGCACCAAGTTTTGTTTTTTTGTTTTTTTTTTGCTACCAAGTCACTGTGCTAGAAATTATTTTGCTATAAAGTATTTGTTGAGTCTCGCATATCCAGAGATGCTAAGCGTCCACTAGTTTGCTGAGAAAAAGGGTCACTGTGATCAGTCCATTCCTCCACCGGTAGGCTTGGTAGATCTGGTGCCTCCTTCTGTGAAGCAATGGGGTTCCTGCTAATAACCAAATCAAGCTTGTTTCCAGATTCTGCTATTAATGGGACAACCAAACAGCAGTCAAAGTCTCTGGTGCGGACGTGGTTTACCTGCAGTAATTGGAAAACAAGGGATGAATAGTACAATACTTGATATTTGCATGCATGTAGTTGATCACCAAGCATTTACTTACACACACCTATTTGCTTTTTACCATTTCACTAGCCTATAGCTTAAAGACTGCACTGCTTAGTATAAGCAGTGAAAGAGCATGAAAAAAAAAATCTCCCTACTGGGGCCCTTACGGTTTGGGCAGGTTATATTAGGCACTACCCAACAATACTTAAGTGTTGTGGGCTTACAGCAAATCAAACATACTAAATGTAAAATTTAAAACCAGCTTAGTGAGAATTACTATTATGTACATCAAGTTATCCAGAAGCATTCCTGAAATCTCCCAACTACAGAATATGTAGAGTATAAAAACATTTTTACTCAGAGCTAGTGGTAAGTGATACCTAGGTAACTGCGTGGTGTGATGTGGATATCAGCCTTGGTGAGTTGAAGGTCACAGAGCTCTTGAAACTTTAGATAGTCTCTGCTAAACATTTTGGGAAGCTTTGTAGCCTTTTAATCACTTGCCCTCCTAAGGATTTACTCCCCTGCCTGACCAGGCCATTTTTTGCGTTACGGCGCTGTGTTACTTAAACTGACAATTGCGTGGTCATGCAACACTGCAGCAAAATAACATTTATGTTCTTTTTTTTCCTACAAATTGAGCTTTCCTTCTATGGTATTTGATCACCTGTGCGATTTTTATTTTTTGTGCTATAAAAAAAGTCTGACAATTTTGAGAAAAAAAAAAATATTTTTTACTTTTTGCTATTAAACATGTTACATAGTTAGTATGGCTGAAAAAAGACAAAAGTCCATCCAGTTCAACCATAGAAAAAAAAAAAAAAAGTTATAATCCTATACCCACAGTTGATCCAGAGGAAGGCAAAAAAAAAAAAAAAACCCAGCAAAGCATAATCCAATGTGCACCTGCTGGGAAAAAAAATTCCTTCCTGATCCCGAGAGGCAATCGTATATTCCCTGGATCCACTTTACCTATAAATGTTAGTATCCCGTTATATTCTGTGCAGGGGCGGACTGACAACTCATGGGACCCCTGTGTCCTTGCCCAAACTCAAAAAAGCCTATGAAAAAGGTACCAGGGGCATCTCATGGGGCCCCCTACTGACCTCGGGCTGTGCCCGAGTTTCCAAATGGTCAGTCCGCCCCTGATTCTGTGTATCTAAGAAACAAACCAGGTCTTTTTTTGAAGCAATCCACTGAGCTGGCCAGAACCAACTCTTGGTTCTGGCCAGCTCAGTGGATTGCTTCAAAAAAAAAAAAAAAAAAAAACACATTTTCACAGCTCTCACTGTGAAGACCCTTTCCATGTTTGGAGATTAAATTTCTTTTCCTCCAGACGTAAAGAGCTCCCCCTTGTCCTCTGTGATGACCTCAGGGTGAATAACTACACCGCGTTCATTATATGAACCACTGATGTATTTATACATGGTGATCATATCCCCCCTTTATTCTCTCTTGAGAAAGGAGATTAATTCAGTTCCTGTAATCTTTCCTCATAGCTGATCTCCTCCATGCCTCTTCTAACTTTAGTTGCCCTTCTCTTTACTTTCTCCAGTTCCCCAATGTTCTTTTTGTGAATTGGTGGCCAAAACTGAACTGCATATTCCAGATGAGGTGTTACTAATGATTTGTACCGGGGTAATATGATATCTCTCTCTCTGGAGTCTATACCTCTTTTAATACAAGAGGATTTTGCTCGCTTTAGAAACCACAGCTTGGCATTGCATGCTATTATTAAGCGTATGATCTACTAGAACTCCCAGATCCTTCTCCACCATTGATTCCCCCAGGTGTACCCCCCCCCCCCCAGTATGTATGATGCATACATATTCTTAACCCCCAAGTGCATAACCTTACATTTATCAACATTAAATCTCATTAACATGTTCAGTAAAAAACTTTCAAAAATCAATTTTCGTTATAAATTTACACAAAAATGTATTCTGCTACATGTCTGCTAAAATAAAAAAATCCCAATACATGTAAATTAATTGGTTTATGTGAAAGTTACGCCCGGGGGGGATGGAGGACAACGTCTGCTTCCGATCACCTTAGGCGAACGCAGCGGAAGTGGGAGCGGGTACCTGTCAAATTCAGGTACCTGCTTCCCACCCTCTGTCCCCTGGTCCCCATTAAGGATTGGCACCTTTGGGGAAAGACTTAAAGCAGAACTTCTCCTTTTGGGTGGAGCTCCGCATTAAATCCTTAAGTAATTGACATTAGCCAGCAGTTCTTCTATCGGACTTATACTGTAATCCTCTTGAACCAAGCAGGTTGGTTTAACCAAGCGTTTTCCTTGTCTGCTTACTTCCTGATCTGGAAAGAATCCTGGTTCTTGTTAGGGCAATGTCTCAGCAAGACATTACAATTTCTGTGGAGGCTGAAACCTGACACCGAAAGGGTTAACTGGCAGTCTATGAGAAATGTATTTTGCTTAGCTCTGTGTCTGTTTGTGAAACATGCTACCTTCTGTTTCCTTTGTTTTAGAAGGTAATAGAAGCAGAAATCAGAATGGCACATGGCAACACAGGCAGCTCCTACTGTCTACATGTATAAATTGACTTGTGTAACAGTCTCATTAGGCAATCACTGTAGTATTGGTATTGTAGGCCATTGTGCTGTGATAAACTTGCAGGTATGTATGACAATAGCTACACTGTCCTAAGCTGCTATATAGCCATATCACATCTCACAGTTTTCTAGAGCTATAGAAGATTTTTTGATTGGACCCAAATGATTTTTTGACTGTTCTGTTTTTCCAATCTAAGCACCGCAAGTGTGATCTCTATAACTGATCCAGTTTTGGCAAGATAACTTTAACTCACAGTCTCAGTTGAATTAGTATATACTATATCCAAATGACTTACTGTGGACCTTAGAAAGCTTTTTAATCCAAAAATGTGTGCAGATCATAACAGGTAAAAAAAAAAAAATCAGTGTGTCTAGCTCCAGCAGAATACAGTACATGTGATGAATGAAGGCTAAAGCATGAAGAAAGGGTGGGACTAATTACATAGAGCATCCCCTAACTACGCAGTGAGGCAGAAACAAAATTATATAAAACGCAAATGCATGTGTAACAAGATAGACATTGTGGGACAATAGAAATATGAGCCAGTGTGTTCAGTTCTGCTTTACATTTGGCAGTAGACTTTTTTTATATACAAATCATGACATACAACACAGTCTTGTATTACCTGCAGTAACCTGTCAAATGGCTTCAAGCCTCCTATATCTCCTGGTCCATTGGAACGAATATTCTTCACATACACGCCCTTCTCCAGTAAACCATCAGCTACACTAAACCCAAAATCTTCTCTATCAGAGTCTTTAAATAAAGAGATCTTAAAAAAAAAAACACACACAAATACTAATTCATGAGTAATACAAATGAACTGGATTTTTGAATAAGTAAAGTGCATTTAAACCCAGAGTAGGGTAGGGTTAGCAATACTGTCAGGTTTTTAATCACCTTCTGCATTCTCCTGAGAACATTCACCCTCTCTGTCTCACTGTCACTGGGACGGAAAGTGAGCACAAACCCAAAACTCTCCTCGCTCTATAAATCTTTCCTCTCATTTATTGTTGCATCTTCAGGACAAACTGAAGGGAAATCTTATCAAAAGGACACAGACAGCAAAAAAATAAAAGGACACAAATTTTAACCCTTCCCTACTTTAGCCAAAACCTTTTTTTCCATTTTATGTTTGGTTTTAGATATGCTTTAAAGTGTATGTATATCTAAAGACAAAAATTAATATATTGCAACTTGGCAGCCCTTAGGATATGGTGACTGCATTATTTCCCATTTTCAGGGATTTTCTTTTTGTACTTCCTGTCCCTGAGTGGTTATGTTCACTCTCTTCACTGCATCTATGAAAGGAGTCACTGTGCACACTAGGCTGCTCTCCTGATCAGAACTACAAACCACCTCCTCCAATCCTTTACATGGGAAGGTATTCTTTTGTAGTTCACAAAAGGTAGCTGGGAAAACTGATCAGATGGCTTGATTTATCAGTTTAATGCAGAGGAAGTTAAAAGAACACTGGAATTTCCAGCAAGAGTTAACCACTGTTGTTTTGTACTTGCAGAAAATCTACTGAGCCTGAAAAAAGAAACCTAATGCAGCCACTACATATAAGTTAAAAGATACTTAAACCCAATTACAAAAATGTGATTCCTTGCACTGTACCAGTTCTTATTAAAAAGAGACTTGATAACCGTCTGTGACTTATAAGTATTTATTACCAATAGTATTCCATTAAATGTTAAAATGTGCCTGTTGCCTTGGATGAACATGAGCTGCAGCTGTGTTCATAGAATTCGTTTTTAGCTAGATATGCATAGTTAAAGTAAATTTGAAGTTGATGGTTCCATGGCTTAATTGCTGGGATTTACAGCACTAAGGTCTTGGTTCAAATTTTTGAACAATGAGAGCAGATAGTGTTCTGGCGCATATGTTTCATCCAAATACTCAGGTTTAATCCCACACTGACTTGTTAGTAGGTTAAATGGCTGTAGTATGTGTACAAATTGACTGTGCACATGCGCTATCACCTTCTGCATGCCAGTCCCAAGCCAAACGAATGGGAAGGGTTGCGTAAAGCCCTGGTGACCTACCACGTGTTAAAAAAAAAAAACCAAAATCTCAAAGAAAATAATATGCCAAAAGGCATTCAAGAGTATTGGACATTGTGTCCAGAAGGCTTGCCCATAGAATCTCCAAGAGTCCGATAAGACTGATTGGATACATGTACACATATAAATTCCAAATTAGGGCAATTTTAATACATTTTACAGACATGAGGGTATGACAGTCTCCATATACTTGCTGTATACTCATTTCAGGGCGCCCCGTGTTTTGGGTCACTTTACCTGGAGCCACAGCAGCAGTACAGTCAAAGTGAATGTCGTCAGTGACCACATTGCAGAGCTGCTGTGGGTGATGTGCCTGATAAGTTTAGGTCATGTTTCTTGAAGAGCTGCTGGATCTGCTTGTGAGGCTCCAAAGTCTGTGAAGACCAACTTATCCCTACCTACCTGCCGATATTGACAAAAGGTTTGTTTTAACCCTATGTAGAAAGGCACAATGAATCTTATAAACACTTCTACATTACAGCTGGCTTTCATGCCCCTTGTTTACTGAAAGCTAACTGAATGAGAAGTTTAGGACCACCTTAAAGAACCTTTCAAATACAGAGCTGTGTCCAAGCTACTTTTATGGCAACAAGCAACATATCTTCCCAGTTACAACAGATAAGATAAAGGGACAAGACCAGTAACAAGCAGTGTTTAAAAAGCGTAGATATTTAATACAGCTCAGTACAAACCATTTTCCAAAAACGCAATTTGTGTTTTAGCATGATGGTCTGTTGAAAAATATAACCACAATAAAATAAAAAAACAAGGACAGTGATGTAACTAATAAAGAATCTCATGTAGTTATTATAAAGAGCAATGTAAAGCATGTACTTCAGATTGAAGAGAACTGCAAAGTGCATGCATACTGACCTTGTGTAACTCCACAGGAGTTGGTGACATAATTTCTTTCATTTCTTGTTTGAGTTTTCTCATAGCTACAGATTTTCTGCCTACATCAGATGGTAGTGTGTTGCTGCGGGTGCTCTGGCTGTAATGTGGTCTGACAGAGCTCTTCTCTTGGAAACTTGCTTGGCGGCCCAGCTGCCCACGAGGCTGAGCATTGTCATGATTTAGGCTCAGTGTGCTGCCAGACATGATGGTTGCCTTCAGCAGAAATATAAACAGTTCTTATTCACTCCTTCAGGGCTACATGGTTGAACATACTAAAGAAACTAATCCTATAGCCCATTAAATGTATATAAGCATTGGAATAAATGAATAGAGGCATATATTGTAATTGTAGTTACATGTTTAACCTTATGTACAAAAAAAAGTAGAATTATTATTATTATACAGGTTTTCTACAGCTATCAATCCAATTCATACTACCAGATTCCAGCTCTCCTTTGCAGGCTTAGATCTAGCGGCTGGGGAAAAAGCACCGCATGCACTGATCAATGGAGCCAATTATTAGGCTAAAGATACATTCTGGGGAAATCAATAAAGCATTTGTGAAAATTTTCTTAAACTATCTCTGCTTGATTCAGCCAAGCATTTGCGCCATTTTTAGTAACAGTACTGACACGTGTGACATATTTAGGTATCTCTTACTACTGCTAGTTTATTTAAGAACACAGGATCTGTAAATACAGGGAGCAGAGACCAGTTTGTCTGAGGATTGCAGTCATTTACTGGCCTCCCGGCCCTGTCTCATGCTTTTTCAATGATTTTTCTGCATGGCTACCGTACTTTCTCTCCTCTGAAGTACCCCCATCATCCTCAGTGACTAACATTCCAAACAATGTTAACACCTCAGCCTCTTCTAAACTACTCAACTTAACCTCTTTTAACCCTATACAATGGACAAAAACCACCACCAGTCACTTCAATGGCAACACCCTCGACCTCATTCTCCCACCTCTGCACTCCCTGCAGCCTCTCTAATATCCCCTTTCCTCTCTTTGATCACAACCTTATCAGTTTTACACTCTCCCTCTTTCCTACCCCCATGCCTCCAATCTGCAAACGGTTACCCGCAGGAACCTTCGCCACCTCAACCCTTCCACTCTTCATCCTGCTATTGACTGCCTTTATGATACAATTGCACCGCTGTCCTGCCCACTTTTGCCTACAACACCACACTGTCATCCACTCTGGACCCCTTCGCTCCTCTCTCTACACAAAGAACCAGGCCTTGCCTGCTACAACCCTGGCAAACAGACAACACCAGAAGTCTCAAGAGACATAGCTGAGAGCGTGGCCTAAAACTAAATTCCTCACTCTACAAATCTGCCCTTCTCAAATACAACTCCTGCCTCCACACTGCTAAACAAACCTGCTACACCACTCTCATCAACTATTTTCTACCCTTAATTCCTTATTTCACATCTTGACTACTGCAGCTCCCTCCTCACTGACCTACCCCTACACAGGCTATACCCCCTTCAGTCTATTAAGAATGCTGCCCCAACATATAAAATTCAAAATACTAACCACAACATACAAGGCCATCCACAACATCGCCCCCAGCTACACCACCAACCTCATCTTCAGATATTGCCCACTCCTCTCAAGACCTCCTGCTCTCCAGTTCCTTTGTTACCTCCTCCCAGCCTCGCCTCCAGGACCTATCCAGAGCCTCTCCAATCCTCTGGAACTCCCTGCCTCAGTATACCCGGTTAGCTCCTACCCTCGCCGCTTTTAGGCGATCCTTGAAAACCCATTTATTCAGGGAAGCCTACCCCACCTCCACCTAAGAACTGTACTTGAGTCACCTCCCCCTAAGAACTGTACTACTTGAGTCACCTCCATCAGATCATCCCCTGCAGCTATTACCTTTTGTACCACCTCCCCCTCCCTTTAGATTGTAAGCTCCATTAACAGGGCCCTCCAATTGTAATTGTACTGTCCCCCTTATAATGTAAAGCGCTGCTTAAACTGTTGGCGCTATATAAATCCTATTATTATTAATAATAATAATAATAACAACAACAATCATCATCGATCATCCGACCGCCCCCCACTCAGAGATTATGTTCCATTCACAGAAGTAGTAGTACAACTTCTATGAATGGCAGATCTAGCAGGAAAGGGCATGCATGGTCAAGCTCTCTTCATGAGAGCTTCTGACAGCCAACTAGTTGTATTAACTCCCAGCTCACCAAAAGATTAAGATAAGGAAGGAGTGTCCAGTATGAACATAAACACAGTGCCACCCTCCCACAAATCCATGTATCCGTTTCTGAAAGATACATGAAGCTGGCGCAATCACTGACAATTTTGTTGCAAAAACCCAATAGAATTCCAAAGAGTGTTGCAGACACGCTTTATGAATTCCCCCCAAATTATAAAGAAAATATTGTATATAAACACAAAAAATGTCAATGAGCCCTGTACTGAACAGAGCCCAGTTATTTGAAAGGATTCCCTCATGAGCCAAAATAGGTACATGTACCATACTGGACAGCACACCACTAGTGCTATGCGCTGCAACCCATGTTAATCAGTAAGGTGCATTGTGGTACCATTCAGAATGAATGACAATGCATATAACATACATTGCCACATCGTAAAAGTGTTCACGGACCTTTAAACTGCAACAAAGAAAACGGGTTCTAGGTATTTGTGCACTGCAGTACAGAAAATGACACCTGGATGGTTATTGTGGACAACAGTCCTATGCGCTGTGTTTTTCCTTCTCCGCTTTAGTTTAATATTGACCCTGCACATTACAGTTCTGTATTGTGCATCTGCCTGGTGGTTCAGACTAGATTACTAATTATAACCGAAAGTGACAGGTTTGGATAAAGCAGGTAATTGAATGACATCTGTAACGAAGAACATGCATAGACTTGTCAACTTTTTATCTAAATAGAAAACTGACGGTACATTGTGTGTCATGTTGCATAATGTCATTGCTGAAAGCACTGGGTTGTCAATAATCCTGATTGCATAGAAAATACATCTTACAGAAATAACTCAAAGCTTTTTTTCCCAGGTAAAAATACTAATGGTTTTAATGAGAGCTTCATTTATCATACAAAAGATGGCAAAAATAGCAGAGGGCTATCATAAGAAATTACTGGGACATGTATAAACAGTAGGAGCCATACCTATTTTAAGCAAAATGAATGACTACAAAGAAATTCCTAAAATCTGGTTAATATTTCAATTTGTGGCATAAAATAGTGAATTTCAAATACTAAAAGGACCAGACTACAGCAGACACTGTGAATAGGGTTTTCTTTTATACGAAGTGCACTATGTTGGTAATGTACAGTCACGTGCAAAGGTTTGGACACCCAAAATCAAAGCTCACATTTTGTAGGTTTTTCTTAATGAAAATAAGTAAAAACACAGTCCGCAGGGGACCAATACGGCATGTTCCAAAGTGTACTGCACATTTAGCATTAAGTTGCTGCACTTAATAGTGTGTGTGTGTGTCAAGGGTAGACAACCTTAAAGAGTTGGAGATCTACCTGGACAACATGGGAGAAGTCAAAGATCACAGTGTCAGCCAGTGTCCCCTCCTCTCACCTGATTTAAAGCTCCAATTGCAGTACTACTGTGTCACAATCGCATACATTGAACAGCATTCATGGGTTTAAATCAGGTGTTGAGGATTCAACATATCGCCTCCTCACCACCTGTCAAACACACTCGGGTCACTTTGCAGAGAAGCAATAGTGTCTGCTACACTTGTGAATGAGCTCTTAGTAGCATCCAGCAGCAGCACTCTTAGGGCTCAATCACATGTAAAGCTGGGGGGTGGTAAAACCCTACAGTCATGGATTTACTGCCCCCAATCCCTACCCTCTTTAGTTGCTGAGGCAACAGGCAAAAGGTATACACATGCCATAGCAGGAATTACACCCCCTGTTGCTTTTGGTGGGTGCTACTGCCTTGTCAGTTGAGACCCATTCAAGTAAAGAGGGCCATTCTGCAAGTGCCCCGCAACTGCATGCTTTTGCAGGGTCCAAGGGGTTAAAGCAGGTGGTGAGAAAGCAACACACCGCTGCCTGTTTAACCTCTTGTTTACCTTGTTTGCACAGGGTTGCAAGGCACTTGCAGAGCGGCCTCATTCACTTGAGTGGGCCATGTTTGGCAGGTGCTACACCCACCAACCATGACAGGGTGTAGGAGCCAGCACTACAGAGGAGACATCACCTTATGCGGCTCATGCTCCCTACTACAGCTCCAACTTTACAAGTAGTCCCTCTGCATTGCACTCTGATACTCTGGGACGGTGGGTCAGCAAGACCTGACCAACATCTATTGGTAGATCATGATCTATTGGTTGCTGAACCCTGGTATATATTACATTTTCTTTTTTTTATTACAATTTAAGTACTTAATTCAGCTTTAATCCAAGCCAGGTAAAGACACTTGTAGAAATTAAAGGAAAGCCATCCTGAGAAAAAAAAAAAAATAGGAGACCTGTACATTGTTAGTTGCCTGGCTGTCTCTGGCCATAGAACTTTCTCAGTCACTGACCATGGACAAACATGCAATAAATTAACATTTAGGCTACCCATGCACTGATAAACTTTCTGTAGGCTGAACGGGAAAAAAAAAAGTACAGCCAATTCCTCTATCCATGGTATATAGTGTGGATATACAAATTCCCCTGCCAAACTATTGTAATACCCAAATGGGGGCTGCATCTGAATGGATGAAGCCCCTGTTTGTCTGACAGTTTTCCACCCAGCTCCCCTCACCCAAAAAAAGAAAAAGTGGGGGAGGAGGAGGATCAGTGGTAGGTCAGTGCATAGGTCAGGTATGCAGTACCTAGGACTCTACACACTTAGCTTGCCTAAATAAAATCTACACTGAGCAATAGTCAGAAGGAATTTTCAGAAGGCAATAAATATATCACTAAAATAAGTTGGGGGGCATTGAACAAAACTTGCTTTAAAATCCAAGGTACACTTGGAAGTAAAAGAAAAGTCTTAAGATAAAAACAAACCACACACTAATTACTAAGTGTGGGGCTGATCTGCTATGCTTTGTGGTTATAGGGCAGCCAGAGGCACAGAGAATAATAAGCCGGTACTGGAAAGAATACATTTTACTAATTAGCAACATAACCTGGGAGCTGATGTCCTACAGACAGTAAAGAAACGAGGTTGGAATTTTAAAGAATACCGCGATTTAAGTTTTCAGAT